CCCCCCCCTAAATAATGTCAGAAAGCTGCTTGCTGGACTACCCCCTTTGCTTGATTGATTTTTTTGTTTTTCAATACTTTTGAATAAGGGATTTTATAAAGAAAGTGCGCACTGACTTTTGGAAACTTTTGGAAAGCTTCACAACTAAAGAGCTTAGGAAAAGTAAAGCAAATCAAAAGGCAAAGAAAAGGAAATCTCCAAATTTTCAATAGAAATCTCCATCCTAAAGCCTCCAAAAGCATCAAATCTCAATGGACATATCAAATTGTTTAATAGAAATCTCCATCCAAAAGCCTCCAAAAGCATCAAATCTCAATGGAAATCTCCAAAATTTCAATAGAAATCTCCATCCAAAAGCCTCCAAAAGCATCAAATCTCAATGGAAATCTCCAATTTTTTAATAGAAATCTCCATCCAAAAGCCTCCAAAAGCATCAAATCTCAATGGAAATCTCCAAATGTTTAATAGAAATCTCAATCCAAAACCCTGTAAGATAAGCAAATCCCAGCAAATTCAAAAGGGAAAAAGTAAACTATAACAATAAAAAAAATCCACTACAACTACCCCTCCAAAAAAAAGAAGACATTATTCTAGGGGCCTTTATAAATCAGTGCATGGGGAAAAAAAAAGACATAATTCTAGGGGGGTTTATAAATCTGAGGACTACATTATAGTGGTCGTTAGTTATGAGTTATGAGGGACTATGGTGGCTGTACTTCCAACAGATTCTGGTGGTTCAAATCAACCCAGCTGGTACTTGAACACAACCCTGTGGGGCCTGCTCCCAGGTGCGCGAGCACGCTGAGCCGGTGGCCTTCTTTGATGGACACCACTTCGAACTGGCACGATGCCTTCCAGTCGCAAGGGCTTTGGGAGCTGGAAGCGGGTTGACCTGGCACACGGCATCCTGGAGACCCTGGCGAGAGTGTCCGAGTGTTCCTTTTTTGAGACTATCCCTACAGGTCAAGGACCTCATTTGACTGGGTCCGGTCATGTGAAACCAATACTCAATGAGGTCAAGTACCAGGTTTAACTTGGCCCGACTGGACTTGTATGGACTTGTAGGGCTATAGTGGTTTCAGAGTAGATGGCACAAACTCCCCAACGAGCGGTAGGTGGTATGCTCAAAAGAATGGTCTGCTTTCAATTCGGTACCCTTCAGGTCAAGAGATCTTTGGCAAGCTCATGGTCACACTCTATCGTGCCTTGAATCGAAGGGACGCGGCATGGGCAGTCAGCGGCATGGGAACCGGACGTGCGCGAACTGATGATCTGATGTGGGAGCTGTTTCAAGTGGAAGAGATCCGTCAGCTCAATCTGCAACTGCTTGTGTTGAAGTGGGAGCCCCAAGTTAGCTGAAAAGATCCATTCGCCACTTCGAAAGAGAAGCAAACCAGGCAAACCAGGAGTCACAAGACGGGGTGCGATCCATGGAGGTTAGGGTTGCCATCATCCACTCACTTATAGGACTAACAGCATCTAACAACCACCCCTTTGTGACTGCTGGCAGAAGTATATAGAGGAAGTGTCCTAAGTTAAGCACTTCTTGCACTGCTTCTATCAACCACTTGGACTCCGGTGGGAGAACCCCTAATCGAAACCAATTCCCTCAGAGATTGCCAGAGCGTCCAGAGAGCTTTCCCGCGCCCCAATGCAAAGCTCCGTGTTTGGCTTGACTCAATCAAACACCAACCAGTCGCTCCACAAGACGTCTATCATGAACCAGAGACATGCCTTCCCCATCCAATAACCCTTTTTTTTTGCCTTTGCGTAAGCCTAAGAGGTCGAACTCCGTGGCAGCGTCTTGCATCAAATTAAATGTTCAGACCGGTAGCAGGATTGTAATCCCTTCCCTGAGAAGCAAGGAAATCGAAATCCGCAACAAGACAAGTCACGAAATCATCAAATTCCTTAGGGATCACAGTCGAACCGGTTCGTGGCAGTGATCGTTCCAGAATCTCTGCCAGCATGCGACACAGCCCTCCAGGATACTCCTTGAGTTCTGTAGTCGCCCATGACCCGTCGCACTTTCGACCTACAGCAGTGCGCTTCGGCAGTGCTGTACAACGGCCTCGCACGATGAGGGCCTCTAGTTCATCAGTCGCGTTGGCAAATAGGAGCCTCGTGGGCTTCGGAGTCTTTCCTCCATAATGGCCCTGTAAAAGCCGGACACTCGTGCAGTTGGCAAAGCGGTGCATCATGCGAACAACAGGAAGTCTCCATATCGAAGCTGCATGGCTGTTGTGTTCATCCTGCTCAGGGTGCTCTAGGATGGCCACTGCTCCACAGCAGATGGAGATTGCAACCAGATGGAGCGCAACTCCCAAGAGGCCGCTCCCCAGATCGACTTGGCTGTGTTCTCGGCGTGTCAAGTCCTTTCGCCCAAAAGGGCGTTTGGCAGTACGAACCACTCTTGGGTAGCGCCCCCCTTCAACTGCATTTGCTCGGACTTTGGACCATGTTTCGCATGGTGGTCCAGCTACGAACCCTTTCAGCCATCCAGCATACAGGGCCCGCTTGAAAAACAGGAACGTGTCTCTTCGCAGCAGATTACCCTTGACTTGGTCGAAAATAATGTCGATTGAGATGGTCTTGAAGCCCTTCGCCTCTAAGACACTTTGCAAGTCTTCAGGCCTCCGATGTCCTGAGAACAGGTGTGCGACCACATGAACATCGAAAGTGGGCAACTGCCTTGCTGGACCATGTAATGGCAACAGGCTGTCTGCTTCTCGATGGAAGAGGTCCACTGCACATTCGCTCTGTGCCGCAGCTCCTAACTCCGCATCAATGATCCATTCAGCGCAGAAATGGTATCGAAAGCTAGAGATTCGCTGCAGAGTCTCCAGGCTAATATCCTCCCTGTTGCTGTTCCAATCGTTCAGCCACTGCTCGAAGTGCTCAATAACTTCCTTCGGGAGGAGCACAGTTCGTCCAGTGGCAACTCGAAGTCCTTCAAGGGCATCAGTGTGTGCATCAATTGCCTCTTGCACACCCCTAGTCCATGAAGCTGAAAGGTCATCAAAGTGTGCTTGTTGTGGGTGGATCAACGAGACAGTAGAGTGTTCTTCACAATTCCTGGGCCCTTGTGCTTGGATGTAAGGGTTGCTCCACTCCGTCAGCTTGCCAGCTGCCCCCCTACTGTTGACTCCAGCCTGAATCTCAACTCGATGTCCACGACTTAAGTAAAAGAGTCTGCAGGCCTCTTTCCTCTTTGCGTGGTTGATCAGGTTGACATGTGAAGAATATTGTCTGAGACATGCCTCGCACTGTGTACCACTGACAAAATGGCGAACCTCACAAATTCGGTTGTGCTTTTTAAAAGCATGTACCGTCTGGGCTGCCTGTGTAGCAAATCGGAGTTTGCATTTAGCGCAGAAAAATCCCAGGTCATTTGCCTTCTTGTCAGCGAAATGCACCCCCTGCTCAAGGAATTCCCGATATATATCTTTGTGCCATCGGTCCCATTGATAGCTCCGTTTGGAATCCGAAATGTGTCTATATACAGCTTTTCGGACAACTGCTTTCCACCTCCCCTTGGACTCAGCAATATAAGCAGAGATGACATCCCAAGAAGCTTCCGTCAAAGGAGGTAGTTCTATCTCAGGCACAATTTCCCGAAGCCACTCAATATCACCTTGCAGAAGGGCAACCCAGTGCTGTTCAAGTTGGAGGAGTGCCCATAAGTGCGGTGTTCCATGGTGCACAAGCTGAATGCAGAATCTCAGTCGAGCTTCTCGCAGGAACTCATCAGCCGTTTGAACCCCAAGCTCACTGTAGACCCTTCCAGCTTCCCATTTCAGGGCAGTCTGACCAAAATGCAGCATTGCTACTCTTTTCAGCAGCTTAAAATGCCCTTTCTGCAAGCAGTCCTTTTCCCTACGGGAATGCAGGACCCATCCAGCCGCATTGAAATGCATAGCACTGAAAACTAGACTTCGCAGAAAATTGACTTTGGTCGAGAGGTCCAGACCCCTGTTCCCGAAAATTTGGCTTTTAAAATGTGTGACAGTGGTGTGTGCACAGCCAAAGCGCACTCGTAGGTCAAGCATGGCCTTGGAGCCAATTCTGATCCAAGTCCCGAGATGTTTGTAAGCAGGAACGGCTCTCACTGGTTGGGGCACATGGACAGAAGTAGTTGGCAAGACATTGCCCGCATAGAGGAGATCTCGTCTGGCTTGCAATGTTCCACTTCCTTTGTAGTCGACAAGGATCTCTGTTTTACCAGCTTTTAAGTTCGGCTGCAGTCCCGAACTTGCCAGCCTGTCAAACAAAATACCAGTGACTGTCCCAATGACCTCATTGAGTTCCTCTGGAGCTGGAGCATGCATAGCGAGGGCCAGGTCATCTGCCCACACCGGCATCACAAGGCTAAGCTCAAACTTTCTGTCCGGAGATGGAAACGGCGACCTATATTGATCCCATTTAGTGGCGAGATCTGGGCATCTCCGCAGTACTTCAGCTTCAAACCCCTGTAAAATCTTGCTCAAAGCAAAAGCAAAACAGAGATCAGCCAACGAATCACCCGGTCTGGATCCCCTATGGGTCTGAGTAACCCTGGGGCATTCATTGACCACAAACCACGTTCGACAGTAGAATTCTTTGAACAACGCCCTCAAGAAAGGTGAGGCTTCTGTCTGCTCTATCGCAGGCGTGAGGTGCATCTGTTGCTGAAATTCTAACCATGCCGAATCTGGCAGCCCAAGTCTTCGAAAGATGATCTGTAAGGTGGATGCATGTTCGCCATATTGGATGAAGTGTTCCCTCACCAAGCGGTAGAAAGCGCTTGCAACGTCAACGAAGAGGAGGGCCACACTGTGACGTTGTTCCAGCCAGAAGCGATGGTAGAGTGAAATGCACATGGTCGCTTGCACCGTCGCAAATCCCGGCATACCCCCGATCTGCAACGGTAATCGGTTCCTAAAGGCTTTAACCAGCTCTGGCCTATATGCCGCATGGAGAGCTTTGCCTATTGGGCTACTTACGAAAAGCGACCGATAGCTCGAGCAATCACCAGGTGGGCCCTTTTTATATGATGGGACCAATCTTCCCCCTTTATACAGTATGGCTTCACGAAGCTGCAATACTTGCTTGAGGTAGAGTGGATAGAAGGCCCTCGCCAGCTCGGATGCCGCCCCACTAAGTAGGTCACCCGGGATGGAATCAATGAAAAAGGCTTTGCCCTTCTTCGTCATGCGAAAGAAATGCTCAATCTGTGGAAGAGTCGGAAGGTCCTCCCAAGTCGGTTGCAGCCTTTCAGATGGTGGTATCACATCTCGAGCAAAAAGTTCACTCAGTTGCACCACTTCCCCAGCCTCTTGCTCACCGAAATGCTGTCTCCAACGTTCAGCGACCTCCTGATAATCATTCAGCGGGCATCCATGTTCATCACTGACAATGGGAAGCGGCTTAATCGCAGAAGGCTTCCGTCGACTGTGCACACCAATCATTTTAAGCTTCTGAATAAATTCATGTTGTGTCATCTCATGTTGGCGGCCAGCGACCTCTTCCAGCATACTTACTCTATCCTTTTTGAGTGCCTTGGACAGCTCTCTCGAGAGCTCTGCACATTGCTTTCGGTATGCCTGAAAGCGCAGAAAGGATGCCCAGAAGCTTGGCCTTCGAAGAGAATCCTGGTGCCCAGTCCGCATTCTCCATGTCTGCCACGCCACAGACAAGGTGTAGTCAGCGAGCTGTTGTTTGAGGGCCAGTTGATCCTTTTTTGTCTGGATTCTCTGCATCCGGATCTCCCATGTTGCATCAGAGATGTAACTCTTCTTTCTCTGGACACCCTGTTTCGGGTAGTATTGACATAATTGTTCAGAAATCCAATTTGTCAATTTGGCCGCGTGTACATCAACATCTACCTGCCAATCGATAATTGGCGGCTCGGCGAAGTGATGTGCCATGCCCGCATTGAGGTCCTTCTGCAAAGCCATGCGGTCAAACCCTTTTGCCGGTTTTCGGCGGTGCACCAGTAAATACACTTGGAAATCTCCTCCAAGAGGCACATGGTCTTCTCCAGCTGCTCCGGAATCCAAGGTGACAAGGGGATATGTCTGCAATCTTCCCTTTGCCCAAGTCAGTGGAACCAGGATATAGTCACACCTTGCCTTCTGGCCGTTCGCCGGACTGCTCCATGTCATGGTGTCTCCATCATGCAATTCCTCAAATGTGGACGGCACAAACAACTCCCTGTCTCGC